GCACACCGGTCCCACTCCCCCGCAAGCCGGTGAAGAGAGTTGTGCAGACGGCGAAGCCGGTCACCAGGAAGAGATGGAGGCCCTCACGGATGAGGAGCGTTATCTCCTCGGTCTTGTGGCCGGGGAGAGGCACGATGCAGTCTGCAAAGGTGCTAACTGCTTTTGCAAGCAGCATCTCTCGCTGTTCGGTGGGGTGGGTCTTGAAAGGGAGCCCTGCGAAGGCCGGTGTTGTAGTCCTGCGAATAGCAGCGCAACTGGGAAGCGTCCGCGAGCTGAGACTGAGAACGGCGGCTTCGTCACAGGGTCTGCACAACGGGGGGTGAAACGGAGGTCTAAAACCTACTGGGCCGCTCAGCCACTGCTGGAAGCAACTTGCAATGATGTGGTGGACCTTGGAGAGGGTGGGCCGTCAGCATGCTCGGCCGGGGGGCAAGGGCCAGATGTTATCCGTGTATGCGGCAGTTGCATTTGCCCTTCAACGGCGTGCCTTCATGTTGAGCCCGCACGTGTTGCAATTGTCATGCTGATGGGTGCAGAGGCTGTCCAGGTAGAGACTCCAAAGCTCGTGCGCCCGACAGACGGGTTGGCCGTCCATGACCCCCCCGTTACTCTGCTGAAGCAGCCAATGAGAGTCAGCCAGCTGGCTGCGCGAGATTTCGAGGAACTGAGTAGGATGGCGGGATTGTGTGCCCCTTGCCCCAAAGAGCCGCCCCCCTGTGCGACGGGCTGGTCAAGCTTGATGCAGACGTCTCACATCTACTCTCTGGACTGGTCGCAGGAGGTGAGTGGCGTGCTGTGCTGTCTGACGGACATTCCCTTCAATGGTTGAAGTACGATACCTTGTCTTGGAAACATTTGAAGAGCAGCCACTCTGTTCATCTTTGAGATCTGGACTACACCATGTCGTTTACTTTTATGCAATACTCTCGCAAAACCTAGACAAGGCTGTGGCAAAGATTAGGGCCATACCTGATAGAATAAACGGTGGAAATCCCATATATTGGACCAATGAGACCAAATAATCCTTCGTACTAGCCAACCGTTTGTAGTCGGCCCATGCCTTACCGGCCGACGTGCACATCCGTGCAGCATTACATTCACCATGTCGTAAGTACCAGATTGACTAAAGGCGGCAAAGCTCTCCCTGTATGCTTCTCCAAATGATAGTACTCTATTTATGGATTTTTGCGTGCAGGTGAAAGTCCGCATCTACTGTTGCAAGTGCTCGGAGAAGCACACGGTCCACTTTAACGGAGAGGCCTTGGGTTTGTACGCCTGGACTAGAAGCGTCATCGTCACACAAGCGGCTTGCCAACTCCTGCTGCGATGCGTGCAAGGCACTGGCTCTGCTTGTAACGCCCTTATCGAGGCTAAGAACGCCGTCCGCCAGTTCTACTCACCTAGCGCCAAGCCTCTGTCCAGCGAGACCTGGCGGAGGGCGAGTCTCGGCTTCTTCAAGCTCTGTGGACGCTCCATTCTCGAATGTTGTAGCATCTGCGGACCCCACCCGGAGGTACTTCTCTGCGACGGCATCGCGGTGCTGGCTTGTGCCGACGGCGGGCGGCAGAAGGGAGGGCTGGCTGGGTCCAGCGCTGCGCAGTTGCGGCCATTTACGGCGCCGAGTCAAGATGCCAAGGGGGTGAATGTTGTGAAGCTGATGGAGCCGGGGGTCAACTTCTGTGCTGCGGCCTTGGGTGGGGCTGGCTTGAAGCGGCGTTTGGTGCACCAACCAGAGTTGCGTGCATTGATTGCGCGCTTTAGCCAGCATCATCCTGACGACCCCGATCTAGGAGCCAAGCTGAGCAACGTGGAGTTCGATGAATTGCTGGTGAGATGGCTGTCCAGTTGTCCAAGCTTTTATGAAACAAATTTCGGGATCCTGTGTGATGACGTCAGCAACCTCAAACACAATTTATTTTGCCAAACCTTGGACACTTGTACACAATCTCAAGCCCCCAAACCAGGATTCAATTGAACATCCCAGAAGGTCATCAAGGATGTCTGCGTTGTCTGCGTTGTTGATGAAGACATTTTTGTAGTAGGCCATCTACCTTCAAGGAGACTCTCCTGTCTTTAGCCGCCTCATCTCCATGTCGCAGGCCGCACTCGACCGCGAGGACGTGCAGGTCGCCCCAGAGTTTGTGCCGAACCCCGTCGACGAAGAGGCCGACCCAGTGCTTTTCTACGAGCGGCGCCGCCTTCTCCTCGACCAGTTTGCACAGATTCGATCAAAGAACCGTGCCATGCTGGCGCTCCTAGCGGGGATCGAGACAGAGAGGCCCCGCGAGCTTCCCCTCTACGACCACCGCGATGCCCCGCAAAGTGGGCGGAGCTACTCTATGGCTTAGGCACGCCGCAGTCCGTCTCAGACGACAGCAACCTCATACAGCATCAGCGGGCTCTGGCCGTGGTCCGGAAGCTACTCTTGGGGGGAGTTGCCAACCTGGAAGATAAGGCGATTCTCGCTCAGCACGCCCCCATCCTCGGGCGGTTGCTGGACCACTTCGGGTTCATGTTTCCGAGGTGTTTCACCCCAGCGTTGCACCATCTCTATCGGCTGACCCTCTTCGGCCGAGGTGCTGTCGGACTCGGGGTGGGACGAGCCGGATGGCCGTTGTCCGCTATCGAGGGCCTCGACAACTGCGTCTCGGCAGCACGCGACTTCGTGGAGCGCCCGTGGACCCGCACCGCAGAACGCCTGCAGGCCGTCGAGTTCTGGGAGACGCGAGCGAATGCCATGCTCCCCGGTGTCGAGAACTTGACAGCGCCCTCTACGGCGTTGTACCCGCTCAACGTACCTGAGGCAGAGCTCTTGAACGAGCGGCTGGGTCTGAATCCGGACGGTGAATCATGCGGAGCCCTTCCCTTAGAGCACTCCTTCTGCAAGGAGCAGCGTGTGCTCGGTTGCTACCCTCTGCCGGGGTGGGAACAGAAGCGCCCGCTCCCTCAATACAAGCCCTTTGAGGACGAGCTAGGCCGGTCCATTGAGGGCAGCGAAGAGCATCGTTGTAAGAGCGGGCTAACGGTGGGCAGGTTTGATGCGGAGGTGGCCTCCAAGGGGGGGTCGAAGTCCGCGAAGCGATTGCAAAACCACACCAAGGGCGGGTTCGTCTTCTGCTGCCCACATAGGGTCATCTACGGCTTTCACGCCATGCTCCGGGGCGAGTCACCTCGAGACCCCTTCACCGTGTTGTACACTCGACTGGATCGACGGAACCTCCCCCGGTACATGTTCTACGACAACGCGTGCAAGCTGCAGTCGTATTGCATGAGGCGTGAACCGGCTTTCTTCGCCGACGTTCGGTTCCTCGTCGACAGGTGAGACCATTTGACCTTTATGGATTTGATGAAGAGCTTCGACTCGGCCCTGCAGCTTCTGCAATCAAGCCGCACTGGCTCTCATGTGCTTTTGACATACCCGCTGTCCCTTGACATGTTGCATAGGGTGCCCCCCACTGGCCCCCCAACCTGTTTTTGGAAGATGTATATCTGGCTCCGAAAAAAGGGCGCTTCATAAGATCGAAATCTAACGGTCACCGTGTTTGGTCTCAGATTCCACTTCCAACGCACAGGAGCAGAGGCCCACAAGTGCGGACCATCCTTCAACCCCGGTAAGCCTTCCAACACTAAAGCAAGACGCTCGATTGACTCTAGAGCATGCACATGGGCTTTGCGTTGTCTCGTTGAAAGATGTGGCTTGTTATTGCTGACTCTGCATGCCAACCGCAATCGCTGTGAGCATTTACCAGGCTAACCTATTTCCGTCTTCTGTATCAGATTACTACGACGCGGTGCGCTGGGTCAACACTTCTGCGGTCGAGAGCTGTAATTCCTTCTTGGTTAGATTTAAGACTCTCGGGTGGTACTCCGGACTAGAAGCCTTCATGGTAATATTAGCTAATCTTATCAGCGGACGAAACTCAGAGCTCACACGGGTGGACGATGCGAAGATCCTGATAGCCGGCAGAGCTGATTTGTGGACGGAGGCCGTCCGTTTCCTTGTAATTAATGCGTAAGTTATCGACTGAGCTTAGCAACTTTGGGTAAAATACAGCCGTCAATTGAGCTGGAAAAGGGATCTCAATGCTCTCTTTGCTTTTTCTGATGCTTTCGGGGTACAATCATGTTTTTTCGTGATGTTATACGTGGAAGGGAAGAACCCTTTCTTTGTACCACCGTGTACCACCTAATATATTATATACAATATATACTAGCAAAGTTCACTGCATAAAGTCTTTACGTACCACCGTACCACCGTACCATCGAATTCCAAGTGCTCTCAAAAACCAAAACTTAAAAAAGGAAACGGTAGAACTTCATCGTTTGAGGTGGTACAGGTGGTTCGATGGTACATATATACTTTATGTAGTGCCAATGCGTAATAGAAAAACGCAGTCACCTACAAATCAAAACGGTAGAAATTGCTCGTTCGAGGTGGTACAGGTGGTACGGTTCATTCGTCCAAATTGCAAAAAACTTTATGTAGTGCCAATTCGTAATAGAGTGGCTCTCTGCAGAATGCCATCTGAATCTGCCATCGAACGCAGGCGCCGGCACGAGCACGACTATCGAAATGAGCATCCAGAGCTGTTTCGTAAGTGGTCGAAACGATACTACGACTCAAACAAAGATGCCGTATGTTTGAGAAAGGCTCTCCATCGATTTGAGCAAGGTAAAAACGTCTGGGCAAGTACTATGATAAAGTTAATAGACGCACAGTTGATCGAGAAGAGTGTTACATGCAATCGTCTCGCAACCTCAAGCGATGACGTTCATGCGTTGGTTGGTCCTTTATGCCCTTCGAAAATAGCTTGATGGTTCTGTTGTCAGCGGGCATGTTCACCGAACGCGTTTCGTTTGAAAAGAAAGTTTCCTTAGGCCTAAAACAAAGGCGCCGCACACGTGATACTCTCGACCCATGTCTCGAACGAAAGATCTGACCACGGCTATCGACGACTACCGGCGTTCACATCTGCTCCCTCTCACTCTGGAATTGAGTTGGGACCCTACCAGTTGCACTAAAAAGGCACGTAACTGGTGTTGCTCAAAGTATGCAGTTATCGTATCAGAAGCAACTTGGGCAGAGCATGAAAACGAGGTTCGCGGTGTTGCCTCTAGAAATTCGATAGCTCTCTGTTGTGGAAGAGAAGGTCTGAACAGCATCGTCGTCGTAGATGTGGATTTCTCAAAAGCAAACGGGGATCCTGATATCGTGGACGGCATGAAGCTTTGGTTATCGAAAATCGAAAAAAATGGCGAGCCTATGACTTGGAAGGCCGAGTCGCAAAGTGGTGGATGGCACTATTACTTCGACGCAAAGACACCCGGATTGAAGAGGAAAACGGACACTACAAAATTGGTGATCGATGGGAAGAAGACGACGATAGACTATCGAGGCAATGGAATCATATTCGCACCTCCTAGTGCGTTCGAACGGAATGGTGAAATCAACTCATATGAATGGATTACAGCACCATCGGAAATCGAGCTCGCACCGGTGCCACCATGGTTGATCGACATTCTGAATGCCGGTGTAGGCGAACCTCCTCCTGATAAAATCGCAAGGCCGATATCAACCAGGTTACATACGGAAAAAGAAGGTACCCTGTTGTTAGAGAATGAACGCACTTCATCAATTGTTCAACACACGAAAGGCCTGTTACAGTCGAAGTGCAACGATCGCACCAGCCGATACACTGGTACAAAGTTTTGCAATGGGGAAGCCATCATGAAGTTCAGAGTGGCAGGATCCAGAAAGTGCGTCAATCAGAAGAAGCATGTCAGCAACAACTTCGGTGTGATTAGTGATGGAGTCCTTTTGATGTATCGTTGCCTCTCATCCGAGTGTGTTCAGACTCCCAGATCGTTCCTCGGTATCTGCCATTGGCCCGAGTTACTCACAAGAAAACATCGTTTTGATTTTTTTGTGTTTGAGAAAGCGGCTAGGATCATTGCAAGATTCCATGTGGAAGAATGTACGGATCCGAAACAGATCCGCAAGGACTTTGATCAACTCATACGCCTTGCTTTTGAAACAATGAATTATTACTTCTGTGTCATAGATGGAAGCTCGAAGACGATGTTCATCGAAACGGTTTATAACAAAGAGGAAACTGCAACTCCATTTGAAAGCATATACCGCACTCGAAACGAATTCATTGATAGATGCGAATCTTTCAACCTGACCATGGGGAAGAATGTGGAGAACCTCGGAAAACTGTGGTGCAAATCCTCTCGTCGAAAGACCCATCAACGGATCGTTTTCAAGCCGTTGAGCGGTGCGCTACCGTGCTCCAGTGACGAGTACAACCTCTTTCATGGATTCCCGCTCGCTTGTAAGCCGCTTTCGCCCGTAGATCATGATGCCATAGATCCATTACTCCAACACATATACGAGGTCCTCGCGAACAAGGAGTCAATTGTGAACGACTACATATTGAATTGGTTGGCTCATATTATTCAAAAACCGGAAAAAAGATTGGAACCGCACTCGTTTTTTGATCATCTCAGGGAGCCGGGAAGTCGCTGGTTACCGATTTTGTCGGAAAACAAGTCATCGGCGCTTCGCACTACCTCTATTGCAACGACATGGACAAAGTCATCGGCAAGTTCAACGGAATTTCAGCTAATCTCCTCCTAGTATGCTTCGACGAAGTTAGTTCATGGGGTGGTGCCTACAAATCCAACAATCGTCTAAAAAGCCTCATTACACAGGATACGAGCATCATTGAAATGAAAGGTCTCGACCCCATTCAGGTTCCTGATCTAGCAAACTATTGGTTCAATACCAACGAGAATTGGCCAATCAAAAAGGAGGCAACGTGCTGCAGATATGGTTGTTTTGAGGCATCGGATCATCGCATCGGAGATCAACAGTACTTCAACAAGCTATGGGGAAGCCTCACAAGCGAGGCTGCAAAGCACTTTTACTGGTTCCTACAATCCAGAGATATCGAGGCTTGGAACGCTAAAGACATACCGACGAGTGAGTGGGGCTGTGAATTGAGAGAACATTCTATCCCCGTTTGGGCAAAGATGATCAGTGGTCTTCTTCAGAATGGTTGGTTTTCCGAAACGGAAGAGACATTCGTTCTGAGCCATGTCATTTTTGCCACCTACCTGACGTTCCTTGCTGACCAACAAATCAAGGAAGATCCACCTACGAGCAAAGATGTGCTGATCAAGACGCTAAAAAAAACACTCATCTTGGGAGCGGATCAAAAAAACCAGAAGAGCATTCAAGGTAGAGGCCTATGTTTTCCTAACCGGATCGAGCTCACGGAGCGATTGAGAAAGATACGTTTTGAAGTGAACGACGTTCAATGGGATGCAGGGTGGACCAATGTTGGATTCAGGCCACCTCCTCCTTCCTCAAATTCTATCAGCTAAGTAGAATCGAGAGAGAAAGATTAGTTGGGGCTACGATTTATGATCAGTTTTTATCTAACTACAAATTCTATCGATTAAAAAAAACACTCGTTTTCAAACGCATCAACGCAGGTTCAAGAGCATTCGCCTTGCAAACATCCGATCATATTGTCTATGGGAATGTCAAGCTTCTACACAACTGGCCCGATGTTTGCCGCCTCTCATTTGTATCTACGTTCGTACAACTCCTGTGCAGTATGCAGAGAATGACCCATATACTCTGCTTTAGCACGATGCTCTGCTCGGGTATTTGGCAAGTTCTCCGTGTGAGATATATGTCTTAGCAATGTGCAAGAGAGATTTTTGTTGAAATACCGCTGCCCAAGGTCGTTCAACACAGGGGTGAAATTGGTGATCGGTTGATCCTTAAAGCCGAGATAGTACCGTTTCATAACCAAGTAGTACCTCGGAAAGAGATTGAAACTCCGTAGTATAACATTGACTAGTGTCTCAGGTATCTGCAGCTTTCGTATACCAACCTTGTTGAGTGTTTTGTGACTGCTGATGACGAATTGGCATTGCTTGGGGTCCTCGGCTAGTATGCATGTGTTCATGTCGCCGGG